TCACTCAACACGTCTATGTGTCCGGCAATCTCCATCACTCAACCTGTGAGGTTCAGTTTGTGTCTATCCTCACTCAACCCGTGGGGTTTCAGTATGCAGCTATCCCCACTCAACCCGTCTATGTGTCCNGCGTCTTTGGTAGCGCATACTATGGGGGCTATATTTGGGGTGGCGTGTTTTACAGCGCTTTGCCAACAGCGCCAACCCACTTAAGTCTAGAACGGTGGGGGGGGTACGCTCGTTGTTTTTGTGTATGTGTGTGTGTGCCCTGCTGTGCCGCGGCGTCCGTTTTTCGTGACGAACGGGGGGGGAGGGGGGGGGTTCTCATAGTCGTGTATGCCGTAGTCGTTAGACCATTGACCTTGCATCCGTACAACACCTGGAGAGGGAATGCGCCGAGTTTTCACCGGACCAGGCTATCACATCACCAAACAAGAATCGCCGTGAGGTATTTGGCGAGTCGCATAGAGGGTGCGCTGCATCCTGACTTGGGTATTCGGCATCTTGTGCTTACTTCCTTGGATAGGGATGACAGCTGCGAATGTTTTGTTTATTTTCTGGTGCTTCCACTTACAGAGGCAGTTATAGGTACTGTGTATCTGGCTCGATGGTGCGTGACCAATTCAACACAGCGTGGTGTGATCATCCCCGTTGCGTGCGCGCAGAAGGGGGGGTAGGGCGTGCTCATGTTTCGCATGCCTATGCGGTTAGACCGTTATCCACGCGTCATCTAGAGGACAGAGCATTGTTCCCGCAGGACCGATCACCGATGGCAAATCGTTCCTTTCTACTTTGCCAAAAGTGCGGGGGCGGGGGGGGGGGGGGGGGNTCACCAAGCGCGAAGCGCCGTGAGATATTCGGCGAGTCGCATGAAGGGTGCGCTGCATCCTGCTCAGGGTGTTCGGCATCTTGTGCTTACTTCCTTGCGCACGGATGACAGCTGCGTATGAATTATTTTATCTTCAGGTGCTTTCACTTCCTGAGACAGTTGTAAGCACTGTGTATCTGTCTCGAGGGTGCTTGACCATTTTAACACAACGTGGTGCGATCATCCCCCTTGCGCGGAGTGAGGGTTCTCGACCCCACATAACATGATCTACTCGACCACCATTATGGTTATGGTTACCGCCAAAAAAAAACAGAGGTAAAAAAACACAAACGGGAACCTGGTTGCCGAGTTCACGAAGTGAATTGGCTTGTTCTACAACGTCGTTGCCAAGCGACGAAAACCCAATCCCAATGGCAAACACCGAGGGGGGCGGGGAGGGGGCGTGCTCCTATGTTTTGCATGCCTTAGCGGTTAGACCATTGACTACGCGTCCTCNACAACGGACATTCATTCCGCGACTACATGAACACGGTCTTCGCGTTCGAAGCCGCAATCACATTTGAACTCGTCGTCTNTCCCACAGGACCGATCACCGACGGCCAATTGTTCCTTTCTACTTTGTTTGCCAAAGGTGGCTCAAAAATGTCTTCCCTAGTCTGTCTATCCTAACGATATCCCTTCCCGCCTTTTCAACCCACCTCCTATGCCCCACTACAGNGTGAGGGGGACGGCAATTCTGAAGAATCATTCACGGCCACCAACCATTAGCTGCTGTTCTGTCCAGCTTACAACAAGTCAATACAGCTTTGTCTGGCAACTAGGGGGGGGTGTCTCCTCTGTGCTCTAGACTTTAGACTATATGAACCTTCGCAGGTCCAGTAAACATCAATATTATCCCGCTTCCGGACCCGATGCCTCACAACGAAGTGTGTGTGTGTGGTGCACTAGATAGACGGCTCGCAATTAGAGCCCCCACTAGTCCAAACAGAGGTTACGCTGTTTTTCACAATTGAACAACAGCAACCCAGGTGTTGTCTTGCGCCACAAGAAAAAAGGTTGCGTAGATGCGTAACCTGTGAAGTATGTAAATGCTGCATGTAAGTAGATAGTCTAAGCCTGGGCAACGCAAGAGTTGCAAACTATTCATGACACACGACTGACTGCACAACACCAACCGCACAGAGATATCGTAAAAAATAACTGCTATTCGACGTTGATCAACCTGCTATCCGTCAGATGTATCCGACAATTAGCCCTGTGTTTCCACTAGCTATGTGCCATGCAGAGGGAGAAGAAAGACCTGGACGTTCAAGGCCAAGGAACGTCATTTCTCATCACGTACACGAAACCCCCCGCCCCTCTTCCAACATCCAAGTTGCCAGTTTGGATATATTGCTTGTTCTCTCCACCGCAACAGAGGCAGTCATGACAACCGTAAAGCAGCGGTTGTAGATGTTGATTGCTTGTGCTTGTCGTGGGTACGCTGTCGCAAGAGCTCTCTCCTTGGGTGGAACATCCATGTCGTCAATGACAGGAGCAGTATGCTCCCGTTCGACACTGCGCGCACCACGGCCTGTGTACTTGGATCATGATGGTGGAAATGACGACTACGTGGCTTTGGTGTACCTCTTGAAGCACGAACACAGGTCAGTTTAGATGGTATGGTGGTCAGGGAAGCTGAGCATCGCAGAGCGGCGAAGGCTGCGCGGCAAGCAAGAAGTTAGAGGGTCGATTGCGGAGTTGCAGAGTCTGCGGAAATCTACGCAATCTACGAAAATCCACTAATTTACAGTAGCAAATTGGCGAGTGAAGAAGAGGGGGAGCTGGGGTCCTCCATACTCGTCGTACGTTGTGTGATTCGGGCCTGAGTTGTTGCTGCGTACATGCCATTCGCACCTGTTGTACAAACGAGATGTGCTGATTGCTGCCTCCCACCCCAAACACAACAGCAAGAAAAAAAAAAGCGGCGGAACACTGGTGCGAGTAACATACTTGTAGTTTACTGAAGAGCTTCGGACGACGGGACACGGGCAGATTGCGTAGTACATGGTGATTGTGTCGAGAGAGTTCACTTCCTTTAATTGGCAAGCCCCCAGCCGAATGCAAAATCTCCCGCCGGCTGTGATCGGCTGGCCGAGCAGGGGTTCCGGCTTTATTAGGAATATAATACGAACACAGAAGACTACCCGTTCGGCATATGACCGCAGCAGTCGAGTTTTATGCATACGCATACATGTAGGGTCACGCAAAGAACGGCTACACTGCGACAATACACTAGGACATCACCCAGCTATCCATCTATGCCATGGAAACAAGGCGTCAAACACCGCCGCGCTCCCTCTCTCGACTCCCCAATCGGGTGGCGCCTCGCGCACACGTCAACCGGTGAGAACCCGGACAGGTTTGATCTCCTGGGGGTATCGGTCACGCCAGCGAACTCGTGGTGGAAGGTGGGTGCGGCAGCCACCCGAAAGATCCTGTGGACTCTCTCCAAGAAACACACCTCCTCTTCCTCCTCCTCCTCCTCCTCCTCCTCCTCCGGTGCTACCGAAGGGCGGATTCCCGTCGCCGAGTCCACGCTGAATGGCGTGAACGCCTTCCCAGACGGTAAGTACCTGTCGCTAGAGTTGGGGGGGCGGGGGCGGGAGGTACTCTCATGTCTTGCATGCCTTAGCCGTTAGACCCTTGACCACGCGTAGTTGAGAGGACGGAGCATTGTTTCCACAGGACCAATCACCAATGGGCATTCGTTCCTTCCTACGTAGCCAAAGGTGGCTCAAAAATGTTTTCCCCAGTTCATCTATCCTATCGATATTGCTGCCCCCCTATTCAACCCACTTCCTGTGCCCCAGTACAGCTACCATCTTCTCCTTGCTATTCCATGCCTGCCTCAAACATCTCCCAGTGTCTTCCTCCTACTTTTCCCATCTCAGTCATGTATACTTCCTTCTCCTTCTTGTGCAACGGACATTCTGCAACTGCATGAACCCGGTCTTCGCACTCGGAGCCGCAATCGCATTTGTATCTGTCACCTTAATTGTCTACCTTCCTAATCTTCGTTTACGTTCTCAAAGGCCAACATCCCCGGTCCCGAATTTGACCTTCAGCTTCGTCCCTGCATCCACTGGTTGATGTAGGAGGTACTCCTTGAACCCTTGTTCATCGTTCAACATTCCGTACACATCTAGACCCTCCTTCTCCTTGGTTTCTTCGGTTAGACTCTCTCTCGGCACAAGCAATAGTTATCTTCTCCTTGAACCCCTCTAGACCTTCTGTTTCCAGCGTTTCACCTCCGTCGATTTCGAACTCCTTCCGTTCGTCATCTACAACCTTGACCCATTCCGTGGGTTGTCTACCTCTCTTCTTGTTTGTCCACTTCGCCTCCCAAGCTATTCTCGGTAACCTCTTCTCTCCCATATTATACATGCGGTACTACCGTTTTAGCTTCCTTGCGTCTCTCCCCGATCGTGGGGATTGGATCCAAGTCGGGGGGGGAGGGGGGAGGGTTGCGAGATAATATGGCGGGAGGG